TGCTAACAGTCCAAGCCGCATTCTCAGACTTCCCTGTATTAACAGTGAGTCATTGCTGATGCTGATAACCTTCACTAAAAATATGATGGATGGAGTAAGAAAGCTCTGCCAGTTCCTGAAGTCAAAAATCCACATGTAATTGGATTCTAAGTACCAGCGATTCTGTCTCCTCAATATCTCTATGATCCATTTTTTTTTTTTTACCACAACTGTCACATTTATATCATCTCTCTCCTGACCATCTCTCTCAAATTCACTTCCATCCTACTACCAGTACTATTTCTAAAGTGAAAACCTAGCAGTGTCATTACCCTGCTTAAAACTCTTTAGTAACCTAAGAGGATCACAATGAAATAATGTTTACTTGCTTTCTCTTCTGTAAACCATGAGCTCTTTAAAGGCAGGAACAGAAATTTAAAGTTCATCCTTGGGTCCATAAAAGTGCTTGATTAAAACTTGATGAAAGACTGTTTTGTGTCATCATCTGCAGAGGTCTGTGCTCACATCTCCCACTCCTGCACCACTTAAATTGTCAAAGCCAGGAGCTCCTCAGCCTGGCCCGCTACACCCTGCTGAGCTTCCGTGTCGAAGTGGTTTGTGAGACCATGAGGATCAGGTGACACGGGGTTGCTGATATACGTGGACGCAGGCCTTAGCATGAGAGCAGACTGAAGGTTTCTTCTTGCCTCTGGGTGACAGTAAAGACAGCAGCAATCTAGAGTTCTGTGGTGGTTTTCTTCACTTTCAGTATGGATGGAAAGCCCAAAAGCGCTCCCTCTTGAAATCATTTAATAGGCGCACCATTTACTGGTTACCAACTCTAACCATGACTCTAATACTTGATTGACATATATCTTACAGGTCCCGTGGGACCTCACTGTTAGGGGGGTAAGGCTCATTAAAAAAAAAAAAAAACATTAAAAAAAAAAGCAATGTTCCTTCCACTGGGTCATTATTTCTTTTGTTAGCAATGAGAACAGAGGTGTCTTTTTTTCCTATATAAGGGCTGTGTCAGTTGTATAAGTTTATAAAAAATGTTCAAAGACATGCAGAGAATATTATTTTGAGAATCCTGATTCCTTTAGGATGTAGCATCTCACTCGTAGAGCACATGTCTTACCTTGACTGATATAGAATGATGTAGCATGTTTTAATCTTTAAAGTGATAAAATACTAATTATGTGCTTTGCCTGGAAGCCATGCTGTGTGTGTGTGGGTATACATATAGATGGATGGATGGATGGATGGATGGATGGATGGATGGATAGATAGATATCCACATACACATACATATATAATATACATTATACATAAATATTATATAGGCAATTTATACATATTATACACACATATACACAAATAATGTTCCATCATTAGGACTTCTGCATGGCCTAAAGCTTTGAGAAGAACTATGACTAGCAGGATATGTCTTACACTTCCATCTCTTCCCTTTCTCTCCATATACCATCTTCATTCCTCAAGGCCCAGAAAGACCTGCCTTTTCCACAAAGCTTTTGCTATTGCTAAGCCTTCTATAATTTAACTCCAATCTATTGACCTAGGTTTACTTCCAAAGTGAATAATTACAAATATAGTGCTCATGTATAGCACACTCTGGCCAAATGAATCATATGCTCTCTGCAAAGTAAGTGCTCAGAAACTAGCTGTTGAACACTACCTGTGTAAAATAGAACCACTCGTCACCTAGTACAGTACCTGCACATAGGATAAACTCAGCAGCCGAGCAAGACGTTCTCCATGTACACCTTCTACCTACACCTGTGCATTCTGTTTAGGTTGTTCCTCTATCACATCAACTGTTCCTAGAGTCACCTCCTGCTCTTCTCAGCCTTTTAAAAAATTAAACGAGTATTCTAGTTCCTGCTGAATAACACTGACCTCCTTCATGAAGTTCTAATTCACTACAGCAGGAGGTGACCCTCTACACTTGGCTCCTCCTAAGGAGTATAGTTTGGGCCACTATTTCAGTTGTTAATAGACATTGTCTCACATGGCAATTCTTTGTGCAGATTCCTGATCACTTAACTCATGATAACTTCCTTGACAGAAGAATCACTATATTCCCTGTAGCCCTAAGTTGAATCTTTGAAAACAGAAAGCTCTAAAAAAAAATATCTGTGCATTGAACTTGAAGTAACTATTCCAGTCCACCTTGATTGACTCTTTTTCAGAGCATCTTGACCATATGTATTCATTGCACAATTTAGACCTTAAAGCTACACTGTTTCTCATTAATTTCTAGCAGTTCCTTCAGGGCAGCGGCTAATATGCTCCCATGTTTGGCTGCTGAGGTCAAAGAGGATGCTCAGTTGTAGACTGACTGACATAGCAGAGATGTGACCTAATTTATAACAGGCAATCCTTTGAAGAATATTTCAAAATCTTTATGTACATTTCTCATTAAAAATCATCATCCCAGGAGCAACAGTTTTGATGCAGCCAGTTGACAGTTTAACGTGTGAAACCCCTCTGAAAATAAGGCACTTCTAGTCATTCCTGATTTTGGAGTAAGAAATTCTCCCTGAGTGTGTGTAACTGGTCATGAGGAGCAGATGTAGAGACTAATGTTAAGGATAAAAGACAAAGAGAGGACACCTATTACAACATCGGAGCTAATACAATGGTGCACTGTTCCGTGTTTAGCTCTCATTAAATTTCCCATAGGGCAATTAGACTTAATGAAAAATCCTCTCAGGGCCGGTATATTTCTAACTGCTCATCTGCCCAAGCAAGAAAAACCTTGCTCCAGGCTTCAAGTGCCAACCTTCCCTAGGCACACAGATGTGTCATCTTTTACCAGCTCCTGGGCAACTTTTCTCCAAGTAACACTTGCCGCATCCCTTCCCCAGCTGTATCACATCTTTCCCTGGCCAAACGGAACTCGAATGATTTCATGGTGAAACTGCAGTGGTGGCAGGGGTTTTTTTCCCCTTTTTTAAAAATTCTTACCTGTATTTTTAGTCTGCCTTATATAATGGGGGAGAACATAAAAATAATTTGGCTACAATCTGGACCTGGCAGAAGAAGGGCCACATGGCCCCTGAATGTCATCTGAGATTCAAGCCATGTCATGTCACGTGACCACTCTGGCAGAACTCATCAGATAGACAGCCAGAACTGGTAAACACACTCATGTGCGTGCATGCTCATGTTCAAACGTGTTCATCTACACCTTCTTATGTAAACATCATACTCATCCACAACAATCCCTGGGCCATTTTAAGGTAGAACTTTGAAGTAGCCCCATATTCCAAAAGATTTTTGGTTAGCCCAGTAAATTAAAAAAAAAAAAAAAGAAAAAGAAATTATTTCCTTCGCTAAATTACTTATTATGTGTAAGTACTGGTAGGCTACATGATTTGTTTACTATAAAGCCAATGAATGTTCTTATCTCTATTGCCCCCACACAAACAGAGCCAATAAAAAACTACCAAAAAGCAAAACAATAAGCAAACATAAAACCAGCTAATGGCAGTGTTTTTTCCACTCTTCTTAGGAAGTGAAAGGTTTATGTCAAAGCTAAAATGTCAAAGCAGCTGAAATAGATGCTCTTCGTCACCTCTCTAGGTCTAACACGTAACTTGAGCTCTAGTCTTTCAGCTGGGGCTACATTTTTAATTTTCTTTAAAGATTTCCTTTGCCATACTTTTCATTTCACAGGTTTTTTGTTTTTTTTTTAATTCCTCAAGCCTTGCCCAGTGGAGTGAAAGCCACCTTAATGAAGAAAGTAGAGATTAAACTACCATGACTTTGGAACAGCAGAGGATCTCAGCTGTAATTCTTTGGCTCAGAACCAGGGTCTAAAACCAGCCATGGGAAAAGCTGCTGACACGGAGCCTGCAATTCTCTCCATGTTTGACTTGCAGAATGTTGACATTATAACACCAGAGAGACCCAAAAATATTTCAAACAATTATGACTTCTTTTCTATAAATATTTGAAAATTGCTTTAAAAGATAAAATAACATATTTTACCCTTCTTGGTTTTTTTTTGTTGTTGTTTTTTGTTTTGTTTGTTTGTTTTTTCACTCTGGTGGCCCTCAGCAGCTCACTACTACGGATTTATTTTTGGCTCAAAGGTCAGGGAGGACATCTGAAGGCACTACCTCTGTTGTTAAACTGTGTTTTCCAGCATGAGTTGCCCAGTGAGTAGGGGAGTCAGCTACTCTTAAAGCAACAACTGAATGCAGTGTAATAGCACAGGAGAAATAGATTGTTTATTTCTTATGCTGATGCCCAAGCAAGGAAAAAACAATCACGCACTCAAGACAATCTTTTAAAAAGTCTCCTATCCCTTTATAAGCAGAGTTTACTTTCTGGACAGAAACATCCTTCTTCTCATTCCCTTTCATTATTCTTTTTTGCTCCAGTTATTTCTGCTATGAGACATACATTTGAATGTACTGAGACTTCACTAGGAAGAGGGTGTAAAAAAGGAAGAAGACTTATAGCGATGGCCAAGGAAATCATGAGTTCTGAGTATGCTATTCAACTCTTTTCAGTTGTGTCCTCCTTCAAACTTTGCCAAATGGTAACCACCCAGAGTGTGAGAGGTGAAATTTATTTGAAACCTGCAATTTCTGCTCTCAGGGAATATGATCCAGAGACCTTAATTCTGAGCTCTGGAAATAGGTGATGATATCCTTAGTCATGGATGAGCAGAGTGATCAGTAGGTTAATAACCAACCCTCCAGTGCAATTTCAATATCTCTCTCAGGACCAAGAGACTTGGCTTGCCTTCAATATAAATGCCCTCAGCATGGTTTGATGTGAAAACATCAGATGCCAAAACTGTATTCCTCCTAAAACATCCACAGAAAAGTCTTCCCAGTTTACGATTTTAAAGCTAAGACCAGTTTCCTATTTGCTGTTACTTACAACTTAACCTCTTCTACTAAAAGCATCCAAAGAACTTATATTTAACAAAGTTCAGTGTTACTTCAAAACACCGGGGGTGGGAATGGGAAAGTAGAACTCACCTTCACTCCCAGAAAAAGCACTACTTGAGCTTGCCACTGCCAAGGTCAACAGCAGCTGCCAGAGATCCATACCTGTAGGACCTGCAATCATACAAAAACGAGCAAGATAAAGTCAACTCAAAGCAGACCATTATCATTACATACTGTTTAAAAACTGGCTAAACTATGAATGAGTTGACATGCATGTCAGTTCCAGAAGGAATCTTAGTAAATCTTTCATTGCCCCAGAGTTGCATATTATTATACTTTTCATGAGGGCAAACAGTAGGTTTGTAACAAATTCTATTTCCCATGGGTGCTTGTCTCAGGAAATAACGCGGACACTAGAGAGCTTCCCATCCTGGCCAACAGCCCTAGAAACACCTTACAACAAAGGACCGCCCCCCTCCCCAAACTGCTTCCATAATAGGACCAGTGTGCTTTCACATTAATTTGATCTGGAAATAGAAAAACTTGTCAGCAGTATCACCAAGCATAGGGCCTTGAGCTGGACAGGCCATAAGAGGAAAAACACCACAAACCACTTATAATAGTAAAACTCCTCCAGTGTTTCCCAGTGAATAAAAGAGCTCAACTAATACTTAGAAGCCTGTGCTGATGAGCCACCATGAGGAGGTGTCGCTGGAAGGGAGCAGGAAGAAGATGAGAAGCGAAAGAAAACAAAACGTGTGCTTCCTAGGTGGCCTGCCTAGGATACCCTGCCTGTCCTGGGTGTTTTCTGCTTTAGGAGGAATGCAGTCTCTGAAAGGCCCAGGAATGTGAACACCCCCTGACTCAAAGAAAGGTCAGTTAGGGGCCTTGCTATCTGAAATCCGCAGTGTGGCCACACCTTGATCCCTTCAGTTTGATGAATAGGGGAGCAGGTCATGCCTTAGCCAGCCCATACCTTTACCTGGAGGAAATAAGCTTCTTTGGAATAAATAAACCAGGTGTCCATTTCTAGGATCTCTGAAGAGACACGTTTGGGCTGGCTGAAAATGAACTCAGAACACTGTCCTGTGGAGAGCTGTTGCTACATCTGACAACTAGTGCCAACTGCTTAAAGCCTCGCTGCAATATTTTCATACAATTTCATGACTTCACATCACTCAGGCTTACCTGATCATCACACTGGGAGCACCACCAGGGCCTCTACTGGCCTCATTTTCTCTATTGTACATTCTTGACAATAATGAAATAGCCGTTCCCATTACCCCTAATCAGGTTGAAATGATGAACGAGAACATTTGTTCTCATGGGTAATGGAAAGGTGTGGTTCCCAATGATGGCTGTGTAATTCTGAATAGGTATAAAGTGTTATTTCATACTTCCATTTCTAGATAGTGGATGGCCCATAATTTTTTTTGTGGTTGTTCCACATGATTTCTTGTTCTTAAAAAGTTCTAAGAAAACACATCTCTACATAAACTGGACATCTTCCTGCATCTGAATACCCCTATATTTGCCGATGGCATAAAGAACGCCCTCAAACACTGCCTTGAGGAGTCACTGACAGAACTGAGTGACACTGCACATGTCAATTACAAGACTGCACACAAATAGGAGTTGCAGTATTGCAGCATCCATGTTTTAGGTTCCTAACCTGGAAGGCTCTGGGCTAATGGCCTTTGCATCATCCTCATCTGCTTTGCAAATGTGAACCACTGAGCAGTTCTCTTTATTTAGGTCCTTTACTTCTAGGTGAATAGGCTATGTGATCCTAGCTGGAAGTCTTCTGCAGAAATATGTAAAAAGGCTAAAAATAAATATGTTAAAGGCCGAAAGTGCCATCCTTTTGTTAACTGGATATTTCCTTTTAAAATTTATTTTTACAGGGTTTTTTTGTTGTTGTTGTTGTTTTCTTTTTTTCTTTTTCTTACATAGGAAAAGCATTGAGGAACTGGGCTCTGTACAGGGTTAGTTTTCCTAGCAATCCCCCAACGCACTTAGTGTCAGGTACAGATACCTCCTCTGGCACTTGCTTTCTTGATACCAGGTTGTAACAGAGAATTCCGATACTAGGCAATGTTTTTTGCTTCCCAAATGGATAAAGATATGAATAGGTTTGCCTTTCTCAGGAGGCTGCTTTCTCTAATATGGAAGTCACATCTTCAAATATTTCGAAGACAGTTGGCAGATGCCAGAAACAAGTGAATTTTGCTTCAGATGAATTGTAGTTGACTCCCTCTCATCCCGAAACTTTTGAAAGCTGGGGCCTGCAAATGAACTTCACCTCTTCCAAATGATCACAACATATCTCCATAGAACGCGTTCTATCTCATAAAGAAACAAACAAATCAGAATCCTTAGAGCAAAATCAACCAGACATCTGTTTGCACACCTCTACAGAAAAGGAGGTATTCAAAACTGCTAGCTTCCTCCTAGGAGAAGAGAACAGGTCATTGCACCGAGAGCATTGCATAGGGCCCCAGGGCTCCCTCCAACTAGGGAGCGGAGCAGAAGATGAAGAGGTGTGGCTGGATTCAGGAAGAGCTACCTGCTTCATCCAAAGACCGAAACTCTCCTTCCACTGCTGCTGGCTCAGTGAGGCTGACTCTGAAAGCAGTCCCCCTAGTGAGTGGTCCCCAGAGCCAGCCCATGGCTGGGCTCATGGACATTGTGTTCAACTTGACTAGAGGCTGCTCCCTTCAGTTTTGCAGAACTCCATGTGGCAGCTTCTAGATGAGAGGAGCCTTCTTCATTAGGTTTTAGCTGAGAGAAAAATGTCTAGGAGAGGACAGAGTGCCAATACGTAAAGTCTGAAATTTTAATGTAGTCAGTCAGTGACATGCCAGTGTGAGAAGGAGAAAGTCCCATTATTCCCCTTCCCCAATATAAGTCTCTATATGAAGGCAGGTGCTCCAGAGGAATCTATCAAATTGTACCTCAGCCTACTGGGTTCTTATTATTGCAATGTAAATTTGTAATATTTTTCTAGGGAAAATACCTCTGTAAATTTCTACTGATATTTATGCATTCTTTGGCTATAGCCTCATGGCAAGATTTTCATTTGGGGTGGGGCAGTGGTTGGGTGGGGGAGACAAGCTTCTATTCTTGCATAATGGAACTCACACCATTTCCACTTTCAAAGCCTGAGGCATTTTGCCTGCCCATCCCCCCACCCCCCACTTCCACAAGGGAGAGCCAGCTGAGAAGCAGCGTGATCCAGCTGGGGTGAGTTTTCATTCTGTAAACTGCCCAGCAGAGGAGACCTCCAAACTACAGTTGGGCCTGTGATATACTGACTTTCATTCCTTGGCTATAAAACAGTACATAAATACATGAGAAGAGATGGAGATTAAACATGGTATTTCTTTTTCCAGTATGTTATAACCAACTCCAGGCCAAGAAAGGAATGGCTTCAATTCTTTTGATTTTAAAATGAACAAGTGTTTGTTGAATTCTTAGTTCTAGAATTATGCAGGCAACAAAGGAGACTGTAAAAGCAATCATGGTTCTCTACTCCAAGAATTAGACAAGATAGGCAAATGAAACTGCAAAAAGAGGAAGAGCCCCTAAAAATGAGAGAAAGATCAGAGTGGGGAAATAATCAGTGACTACACTGAGGGCCTTAAAGTTAGAACTGAATGACAGAGAAGATTGCGCTAGATAAGGAATAGTGGGGATATGGTGTGAACATGCATTATGGGTAAGAGCTCAGGTGGTACAAATGTCCTGGGTACATCTCTGCATCTGATTAGTTCAGGGTAGCAGTTGGAGTGAGCTGGTGAGATAGAGAAAAAGGTTCGAAACTATAAATAAAGGAGACTAAAACTGGATTGGCAAAGGAGGACTAGACTGCACTTGATCTTAGTCAAAAGGCCGAGAAGCGATAAAGGAGGACTAGACTGAAATAGCATTTCAACCCATATTAATCAGAAAGTCACTGGAAATTTTGGGATAGGTAAAGCATATGCAAAGTGGATTTTTCTTAGGATAAATCTGTCCCTCGTATTTTCCTCAATAAGTATCACTGAGAAATACTGACAAGATTTGGTGATGACTGGATATAGGAGATGATAAAGAAAACATGTCTATTCTAAATGACTGAGTATATGTGTGGGTGAAAGATGGCGCTAATGACAGAAACCAGGACTTGGAACTGAGTTGTTTAGAAATGAGAAGGTTATTTAGAAATGTTTTCAGAAATGAGACATGACTGTCTTGGGATGCTTGGTATTAAAGTGATTTAACAGTAATAGACTTGTGGAAATGTTCGAAACGTCTGGTGGGAAGATGAAGGTAGGAGACCGAAGACTGGGAGAGAGAGTGAAGTCATTACTGGATTCCGGAGATATTTACATAGAGAGGACGAGTACCAGATGAATTTACTGTGAAGAAGACTAGATTATATCATGAAGAACCCCACATCAAGTTTATTAAAAGCAATCTTAAAAAGTATATTAAGCCATACAGGGGAACATGTGTTCATATCTGGTTTGTAATGTGGCAGGGACAAAATGAACCACCACCCACAGCCACCTACACCCTCTGATTTGTATCAAGTATTTAAAAGGAAAGAGGTCAACAGCATCCCCGGGAGAACGATGCTAGCATATTAATATATAGGAGGAACAGTATGAAAGATTAAGGAGCCTGTAGTGCTGTTAAGGCAAAATACCAGAGTGGCAACTAAATTGATAGAAATAATATATCCCCAAATTTTCATTTTATTGAACTAGCTATTCTGATACCAAAAAAGTAAGAGCTGATTAAAAAATCCCTACAAAAGCAGAAGTGTTTATATTGCAAAATCAAGACTCTAGTTAGATAACCTAATAAATGTGTACTTTTTGATGCAGGTGTTGATTAGTAATGAAATATTGCAAAACTGAATCAAGTTGATTTCCTGGTGAAGTTGTACTGAGAACTCAACACTGAAAAAGAGGCTAATCCAAAAGGGTGTTTGAAATGACCCATTCTAATTAGCACAGGGCACTTATTTGAATAGTTTGCACTTGTTCATGTTATTACCCACTTTTTATGGTGGTGGTCATTTGAAAATCCTTCAGACCCAAAATGCCCGAGGTCATGTTATTTCTTTCCCATTAGTGAGAAAGAAAAAGTTCACAGTCATTACTGATTTTTCTAGTTTTGCTGAGATTTCTGTCT